TGATGGAGAAAAGCTACTTTTTAGTGCAGAAGTAGTGAGTAGTTAAATTTTATATATCATTTTACTATATGTTTGCATATAATATATGTCTACATCTATTCCTCTATCTATTTACCATCTGTCAAATGTTTGTAATATAATTTGTTTAACATCATATACATACACACATACAAACACACATATATATTATATTTTATATTCATTGAAATTCATACAAGTGCAAATAACATCATTTGGTGAATCAAGATCTATACCAACTATATCTAATACATTTACCATTGTCACATATAAACTTTTTATTATAAATCTCATAGCAACTTTGTGATACTATGTTTTAGATATTAAAAAAAACTTAAGCTACGATGTATAAAATTATTTGTCTAAGGCTGATGATGCTTCAGTCACAGTCTTGGATGTGTTTGAAAAATCAGGGACTTCACACTCACACTCAAGCAATTGGTGATTTTGAATTACATGACAAGTAGATCAAGGCATAAAGTGAACAGAGGAGAGGAAAGAATTTGAATGATCTTCAAGGCTAAGTGTCAGAGTCCTCAGATCATAAGCATCACCTCATGCTTTGCCTTCTAATGTGTCTGTTGTTTTTTTACTCTTTATTCTTGAAATTTTCATGGAAGATAAATGGCAGAGTTCAATGATGGTAATTAGACACTTCAAACAAAATAGTTCAAACCATCTTAAGTGAGACCTTTTGTTGCCTATTTTCCTTCCCAAATGCCACCATTAATTCAGTACGTGCTAGATGCCAGTCTCTAGTGTATGTCTGCATAAAATTGCTATTTCTGCATGAAGAAGTTTGTGTAGACTCATAAAAAACTAGCAGAGCTTACTCAATGAAAATTATGAACTGTCCTTTGTGAGTGAGTTTTCTTCTAACTTGTTATCCCTTCTGTGCTGAGAACATTTACTTACATGGTGGGTCATCGGTGGGCATATGCTCCATCTGTCAGGTGTCACAACAAAACAAAACTAAAAAAAGCACTAAGGATGTAAACACATACTCCAAGCACCTAATGTCTTTCATTTGTTTAGTAAATTCAAGACTTGGCCCTTTGGAAGAAACAACACTGCATAAAGAAACCAGTAAACTCAGAGAAGAATGAGACTTGTTGGAAATTAATGGACTACTTTAAGGCACAGTTAGGTTCATCTATGTTGTGTGAGGTACCTGGTCAAATATAGGGTCAATCTTCAATCAATGCTCATCGTGTTTCCTTCTTCTCACATGTAAAGCATAGATTTCTGCCTCTTGTTTCTGCCCACACCTGCCATGTGAGGTCACAGGTGTGTGCAGCAATTTCTGAGATTTTTTTTATGTTCTTGTGCTGAGAATTTGAACCCAGACACTAATGCTCCTGCAGCAAGTGCTTCTGCCCACTGAGCCATCTACCCAGCCTCAAACTTCTCCACTCCCTGCCCCATGTCTCTCTTTCTGTCTCTGTTCATATGTGTGGGGCGGCATGTGTATGAGGGTACATGTACATGGATGTGCTTGTTTGTGGAAGACTGAAGTGGATGATAAGAATCACCCTTGGCCCACTTTACTTATTTATGCAGGAACTACTAGTCAAACCTATAACTCTCTAACATGGCTAATATTTCTAGCTGGGTTGTTTTGGGTTCACCATCTAGGGCGAAATTACAAGCAACCACCACACCTTCCCAGCATTATGTGGGTTCTGTGGATCTAAACTCTTAGTCTTCTTGCTTGCTTGCAGGGTAACTGTTTGAACCGCTCAGCAACCTTCCCATTCTAAGTATAGGTACGTCCTTGTACTTCCACACCCTCATATACACACCCTGCAGAGGTAAGGACCAAAGCCCAAGGTTGTGTTACTTGCAAACTCTCTCAAATAAAGCATATTGCTCAATAACACATTGTCTCATGTTTCTCTTGTACAACATAATGTAATGAAATTATGTGGTATTACTGCAACAATGAATTAAAGCATGTAAATTTATTTCTTCATGACTAGTACATCTAGATCTTTAAAATGAGTCTGTAGCTTTCTTTCTTCTTCATATTTGAGTTTTTTCTGTTTTAATTTATCCTGCCCCTTCTGACTGCATCACGGTAGGAGTGATCTTTGATATAATGCTAGAGGTTTAGTGTTGTTGTAGTTTTATAAACACCTAAATAACAGTCAAATAGTTTATGGGGTGAAAAGCTATTTACTGACATTCTTTTTACTTTCTTAGACTTTATTTAAAACATAATTACATCGTTTCCCTGTTCCTTTATTCCCTCTAACAGTGCCTGTGTCCTCTTCCTTCAACCATCTCATGCCCCCCACTCCCTTTCAAAGTCATGATCTCTTTTGCTTTGATTATTAGTGCTACATATGTATTCATAAATATACAATACAACCTACTGGGTCCATTTATATTTGCCTATATGTCTGTAAATTTAGGGGTGACTATTTGGTAATGGACAACCGACTAGGTGTCCATTTCTTGGAAAGATGAGTTCTCCTCTTACCATTCATTAGTTGTCTGTAGTTCTTCATCTTGGGGTGGGATCTCATGAGATTGCTAATTTCCACTAAAGGATTTCAATTGGTATTGTCATTGTTCAGGTCTTGTTTGGACAGTCATATTGTTAAGGTGTCATGGGTGTAGTTTCCTGTCATTTCTAGGAGACATAATCCCACAGCAGACTTCTTGGTCGTTTGTCTCCTGACATTTCATACCCTACACTTCCTAAAAGAAACAGTATTTTCTCCTCAAGCAAAAAAGAAGCACTTGTTTAATTTTGAAACTGATGATTTCATGATTCTTTGAAATATGTGATAGTTGATTTCATTTATTTTTAATGCGTTCACATGGAGAAAAATAAAAGTAGTACAACGCACACTGTACTTTCTATGAATAGTGACACCAAAAGCACATTTCTAACAAGTAAATGAATATTCTTCTCCAAATGGTAAGTGTTTTGGTATAATGTGAGCTTTGTGGTTTTGAGCTATTCACTATTTTCCATACTGATATATTACCCCATCAAGATCGATCTGTGACTTGGGCTAAGGAGAGTCACTGTGCACCCAGATTTCCATTAGCTTCTCAGTTCCCTGTTAAAGTAACCACAACAAGAACAATGAAAACCACTTTGCTCTTTTTATTGCATATAGTCTTTTAAATTGAGCAGCCTGCCCATGTCTGATAGGCATTTGGCAGTGTTGCCATTCCTCGGTCTCACCTGCTTTAATTGGACAATGGCAGTTTTCAATTAGCTGCAATCCCAGATCCTCAGATTGTCTCTGCAACTTCTCTCACACGTATACTGTAATTAGTGTGTGCCTCAATGTGCGAGACGGTAAACATATGCTATATATTTGAATAAGAGTGCTGTCAACACTTTATTTTAGAAGTGTATTAATTATGACTGAATAATATTGGGAATGCTAATGTGGAGCAGTACTCTCTTCCTGGCTAATATTTGCATTACTCTTTGTGCTTCATTCTCAGAACAACAAGTTTTAATGTAAGGGACATTTAACAACTTTATGGAAATTGTATATTGAGAGTGTCTTACAAATAATCCTCTTTGGGATGACTAATAGTTCTTTATTTAAATTGTTCTTTTGCCAAATCAAGCAGAGATGTTAAATATGGAGTTGATGTTGTAGCAACTAACAGGAATGACATGTCTGGTTAGGAAGCTTTTTAGTTTAAGTGTTTTACTCTTTTTTTGTTGTTCTGGAAACAAATATTCATTTACACAGATTTCATTGCATTATCAGTCTCCAAAGTCCTGTGAGTGTGTGTGTGTGCATGTGAGTATATGTGTGATATTTGAATATAACACATTTTTACTTTCACAAATGCGGATGATGTCAGTCTGACAAGTTTACTGTGTTCTGTAACATCCACTGGTGAATGTAGAAGTCAGCACTATAGGGGCTATGGTTTTTCAATATTCCAGATACCTATAGAACTTGACATGTAAATTCATAGGTTTCTTTGGTCTAGCACTTAACCATAAGACGTGTGAATCTGTTATAATCAGAAAAAGACAATGAAACATTAACCTTTATGCTAGTACTTTTTTACCCTCTCATTCTTCTATGCTCCTCACTGACCCCCTAGTCCACCCCCACCAACTCCCCAGGGATAGTGATGCCCTTCATGGGGGAACATCAAAGTTCATCACATCATTTAGGGCCATATCTGGACTGCAATAGTATCCCTCCATAGGGAATGGGCTCTCAAAGCCCATTTGTGCTCTAGGTATAAACATTGGCTCCACTGTTAGAGGTCCCATAGACTGCTCTGGCCTTCTAGCTGACACCCACATTCAGAGGGATTGGTAGAAACTATATCTCATATCACTAAATATATTAGTGCTTCAGATATGAGTGTTTGAAGATCCCTAAAATAATGTTAGAACCTGTAATTGATTATTGCCCACCAGAAACATTTTGAAATATTTAATAAAAATAGTATTTCCCTTATCAATTACATTAAAACAGTACAATTTAGAATATTTGAAGATTTCAAAAATCAAAACAAGAAAGAAATTACATTGCATTTCTAAGACACCTGTCCTCCAAATAATTAATTCCTAGAGTAACAATATTAGTGTGTCCTGGGAAGTTCCAGGAAATGATTTTAGGCTAATATCCAAATTCAAGGGGAGGTAACATAATCTGCCACTAAAGGTGATTCCATTGCTTACTGAAAATCAAACCATTTGTAACACATATCACAAAATGTATTTATATGTACTTCCTCTCGACATTCAGGTTCCCAGCATGATGAAAATTCCTGGGCTTTGCTTTGCCTATGACTTAGACAGTTAAGTAGCATCTTAGAAGCATTCTTAGATATTCAGATTTTTGTTACGTTTTACCCAGAAGAAGGTGTTGGGATAAGGAAAGGTGAACAGACCTGTTCTCTGATCTATATTTGGCATGCATTGTTTTACATAATACAAAGGTTCAGAGAAGGATCGGGTCATTTGTAAAACTTAAATGACTTACCCGTGCTCACGCATTGAAAATACAAACTCAGATAGTGTGAATGCAGCAGTTTCATTTTCATCCAAACCTTATCCAGTAACTTGTGTTGGTTACTATGAGCAAAAATGATCATCCGTTACTCTGATGCCTAAGGTTTGAATGGGGACATGTACTGTAAGCTAATTTTAACTCAGAAGTGCACTTTAAATATCAAATAATTCTGGAATGTGTTAAGAGAAGCTTTTTCTTTGCTAGCCGCTTTGGTTTATCCCCCGCCAGTCGCCTGGGCTCTGCCGCGCGAGCCTGTTTCGAGATCCGCATGAGTCCCAAATAAACACACAGGAGGCTATATTAATTATGAAGCTGTTGGCCTTGTTCGTCTCTTACTGGCTAGCTCTGCCTTAAGCAATTACCCCATAATTGTTAATCTAAGTATGTTTCTTACCGGAGAATAGTTCCCGGTGTCCTACTCCCATGGCGTCACATGTTGACTCTCCTGTGTTTCTCCTACCCAGAATCCTCCTGGATTCCTAGCCCCACCTATCTAGATTCCTATTGGCCAGACAGTGCTTTATTAGCATAAGACTTCCCCAACATCTCCTCTTTTCTGTTTAAACAAAAAGAAAGGTCTTAACTTTAACACAGTCAAATTGTATATAACAGAACAGTTATCAAGTAAGAACATAGTTACAATATTTTAGCAAGATTTAAAGAAAATATCATCCATCCCATCCTTGTGAGTCCAAAGTCCTATATGTAGCTTATCTTTTATCATAACTAAGGAAAACTATAATTATAACTATCTGTCTTCAACTCCATCAAAGACCACAGAAGGATAATATATAAACACTAGGATTGACAGAGACATCTTACTGCCTGGACAGTCACCCGAAGTTCCTCTGTAACGTTGGGGCATCCATCTTCAGCCCATAGGCCACAATGTGTCTGGAACACTTCTCAGCAAAGCAGGAAATTTCAAACTGTCCATCTGCGTTGGCAGTCTGTCAGTCATTTTTCTTTATCCTGCAGAAAGTCTCATAGACTCTTCATCAAGCAGGAACCCTGTAAGACTGAGTTCAGTAGTCACTTTCCTGTGGGTCCTGCATGTCCAGATGATACAACAACAGTCAAACAATCTAGGCAAGAGCAGTTTCTTGCCCAAATGGCTAATCTTGCCATGTTGAAAGCAAACTTTATAACGAGTTTCTTCGATGCCCATCTTCCTCTCAGACATAATTGGTGCTGCCAGGAGCAGACATTTCTCATTGTCAAGACAAACCCTAAACCATTTTAAATGCCATGTTCTGAAGGTCTTTGAGAGGTTTGAAGACTGTCCATCTCAAATATATTTCTGTATATCTAGAAACCTAACTTATGTAACTAGAAATTCTATTATAAGTAACTATCTATAGTCTGTATTCAATTATGCATTATGTTGTAAAAGATCAGTATAAGCACAATACTTAATCAAGAGGAGAAATATAAGCATCACAAAATTGACCTTGATTTTGTCTCAATAAATGAAAACAATACCCATACCCTAATTCCCTTTTTACCATTAAAAAAGATTGGCTGTGATCATTAGCCAATTATAAACAATCCCATTTAAATGAAAACAAAGATTTATAAACAAGATGGGAATTGGGACGTCGCTCATTCCAAACTGCTTCCTGCTGGAAGGGGGCGCTGTTCATACCATGGGGATCATGACAAAACTCAGAAACCTGTATAAGTCCATATTTTCGGGGTCTGTAAAACTGCATCATCTTAGCTGTTTCGATTGTTGGAACACCTGGTCCACTGCTTCTGGGGGTCTTGGTTCGTCAAACCACAGAAGTCTGGAAGAAATCCTCAGCTTTTTATGTTCTGTGGAAACATAAGGAAAAACTCCTTTTCCGAGTAACATATCCTTATACTTAAATTTTGAAGTCAAGGCATTTTCAAAAGATAGAAGTTGGATTAATTCAGCAGCATTTATAATCAAGTGTACTTTAGCAGCTGTTCCTTCCTTAGCAATCAAAAAACTGAAAAACATAATAGCGTACAGTATCCAGACTCTCTGTGTATTTTCCATCTTTGCGTGGCTTATTTATTTATCTATTATTACTTTATTTCTTTCACTTTTATTTATTTTTCTTTGAGACAGGGTTTCTCTTCGGAAACCTGCCTGCCTCTGCCTCTGGAGCAATCCTACCGGTGTGCTCCACCACAGCCAGCTTTTGTATTTATTTACCACTTTGCCGTTTGATTTTCTCTCTCAATCTCACGTATATTTTTTAAACACACTGTAAACCTTTAGAGGTTTTGTTCATCCAAGTCTGACTTTACTGTAAATCTTTATGTTTTTCTGGCCACGTGTCTTATCTGTAAAACCGTGGCTGTTTTAAACTGCGGTTTTTTTTTTCCAAGATGGCGGGCGTAAGCATGATTCCAGTTTACTGCCTCAGTCCATGCTGACACCCAGCAAAAGCTGCCACTTCCAGCTGTATGTACACACTTTTCAATCGTTAGCAGAGTCTCTTAAAACAATCTTGCTGTTTTTGTTTTTTTTTTATGCCGAGTCAGGAAGACTCCCGTAAGCGAGCCACATGAATCTCGGCTTGTCGTTAGCAAAACAGAGCACACCTGAGAAAAATGCTGCTACCAAAAATCTGTGCTTCTCGCCGTTCTTCTGTTTCTAAAATTCCTTTAAAGCTTTTGCCATTCTGCGTGGAAATTCATCACCCCACTCCTGGTACCATTTTGTTAAGAGAAGCTTTTTCTTTGCTAGCCGCTTTGGTTTATCCCCCGCCAGTCGCCTGGGCTCTGCCGCGCGAGCCTGTTTCGAGATCCGCATGAGTCCCAAATAAACACACAGGAGGCTATATTAATTATGAAGCTGTTGGCCTTGTTCGTCTCTTACTGGCTAGCTCTGCCTTAAGCAATTACCCCATAATTGTTAATCTAAGTATGTTTCTTACCGGAGAATAGTTCCCGGTGTCCTACTCCCATGGCGTCACATGTTGACTCTCCTGTGTTTCTCCTACCCAGAATCCTCCTGGATTCCTAGCCCCACCTATCTAGATTCCTATTGGCCAGACAGTGCTTTATTAGCATAAGACTTCCCCAACAGGAATGTTTTCACATTGTTAGAATAGGAAAAACTGACTTTGAAATGGAAAGTCCAGAGCACAAATTTTACAACTTTTCTAGACAGGTAGCATGTGTGAGTGCTTACATACAGACCAGCATCAGTCTTCAAATCAAACAATCATGAAAAAATATATAAGACATTTTTTATATAAAAATAAATTCATACATTCCCACTCCGTGACTTGTGGCTGGCTGAGGCTGGCAGAACTCAATGGACCTCACTGTGGGCTTCCTAGTCTAGGTCTGGTGACAGGTCTCTAGCAATACCTCTATACCCAGTGCTAGGCGAAGGGTGGTCGGGCATCATTATTATTGTCATGAGGAAGCATGGTCATGCCCAAGGCCATGACATTCTAAGTTGAGCAAGAAAACCCACATAGGGACGTTCGTTGGTCTTCCCCGAGCTCTAAGAAGAAAACACTGGCCCACATGGTACATTGTGGCACTAGGCTGGAAGAGACCACTATGTTGAGCAAATTTATGAAGTGATATGGGATATCTAGAGAGAAAACTGTTCATGTCTTGTGAACAAAGGCATATGTGAAGAGATGAAAGAGGTGAGGAACAGGTTGAGGTGGGTGGTTTCACTGCCAAACAGAGCCATGGTGATGTCTGGGCCTGGGCTTCTGCAGGGTCCATGTCTGGTTCACGGCTCTGATATAGCCATGGTCTCTGTTGATGTCTGTAGGTGTTTATATTGTCAAAGGCAGAGTGGATAACGCTGTGCAGAGTTGGTGCCACCCCTCACTGGTTATAACACTAGAGAGGACTAATCCTGCCCTCCACCGGCTGAAACACTCAGGAAAGAGGATCCAACGCCTCTCTTGGGCTCCATAACAACTATGACCCAGCCTGGCAGTTGTTTCCGTGGGAGAGCCATCCCCATAGCTCATTTGTCTTGTGAAGGCTTGGGTGGAGAGAGATGGCCACAACACCTTGGCACCTCTCTCTACCATCAGTGCCTGAGGCACGTGGGAGAGCTGTCCCTGCCTCCCATTAGCTGCAGCTCTTGGTAGAATGTCTCATATACCATGCCTGGGCAAGACAGCAAGTATAGCTGAGGGAGAACTGACCCTGAGGATGTAAACTGGCCTCGCTGATCGCTATCACTGCGAGGGTAACCTAGCCAGGGTAATGCTGGAGAGTCCACCCTGGTGGCAAAGACAGAGGACAGCTGTCTCCCAGGCCCAAAATTAGGGTGATGTGTTGACCCACCACAACATCCACCCATCTGTGACCTGATGGACTTGACGGGTGGGATTGGGGATGTCAGTCCTGTGGACCCAGGGTTACAGGACCTGTACAACCCAGGGCAGCAATGGAGTGTCCAGGAAGAGTTCCAGTTTGGACCCAGCCTCATTAGTGCAGGAGAGACCACAGGCCTCGATGCAGACCACTGAGTCTTCCGTAAACCCCTGTATGTAAAAAAAAAAAAATGGCTAAAACAGTTTACTGTCTGACACACTGCGTCACATTGCAGCTTCCATTATGAGATTTCCCCCTTTTCCTTTCTTTTTTGTTTTCCTCTCTTTTGCTTAAATTTTATTTTATTTTATTTTGGGGTGGGGCGGGAGGAGGGTGAGACAGAGAGGCAAGATGTGAAAGACACAAAGAATACATAAAATAAAAATAAAGATCACATGTGAAAGAGATCACTACAGAATCCTGACACTGCTAACAGTTGCCTTCATTTATCAAAAAGCATTGTTACTCCTTCTGAATGAATTACTGGAACATGAGAAAGTGTATTTTTTCTAAATTAGGCTAATTTATATGTGATTTGTAACTTGCTGAGTTACAAGAGACGTTTAGAACATGGACTGTAATTGGTATGATTTTTCTGTGTGAATGAATATGTGATTTTCTGCTTCTGGATCAAAGAGTCCAATTACAGACAGCACTAATCAAAACCCACCGAAATGCAGGCTTCCTCACCACACGATAGTAGTGGGGAAAGGTCATGGCAAACCATGTCCATTTTATCAATAGAGCAGTAAAATTATATTATACAAAACATTCCTAATATAAACATTGTTTATACAAACATAGATGAAAATTGGGGGTGCTGTTGCTTAAGAATAAGTGAATGAGAAAAAAGGATATGAATTTGTATATAAAATACTATCTCATGGGTAGTATAATTATGCTTATTGCTTTTTATATAAATAATTAACAGGTATGTCTCATCTGAGTATGATGTTTTATTTTCCTATAAATACTTATCTTCTTAGCATAGTTTTCTATTTCAAAAACAAATTTATTTATTTATTTATTACCAGCGAAGCATTACTAAAGGCAAATATTGTATACCTCATTTGCATAGAAATTTTCTAGGGATGGCCCTCCTTATTTCCTTAGAGTACTTCACGTTATTTATGTGAAGATAGCTATATTTGTTTACTAAGAGTATTCCTTGAGTGCAAATCCTAGTGCTCTGCTATTCAGGCATGTGGCCTGAGAGGTGGGGACCAAGTCCAATGGCTCAGTGCATAAAGAGGTTGCTGTGCAAGCATGAGGACCTGAGTGTGCATCACTGAGTCTGCAATGAAAGCAGGGCAAAGAACACCCACATGCAACACCAGTGCTGTCAGGAGAATATATAGGACGGCGATCCCAGGCACTTGCTGGCCAGTCAGCCTGGCCATTCCATAAGCTTCGGATTCAACGTGAAATCCTGCATCAAAACATAAGTAGGAGAAAGATAGCAAAAGGCACCTGCCTTTGTAAACCTCTGGCCTCCACAAACTCAGTAGAATTTGCTGTTTCATAGCCGGTTCTAGCCATATAGTTCATCTGTCTTGGAAGAACTGAATGGGGATCAGTGCAGTATGTAACCTAAAGTAATAAAGGAAATTCATGCAGTCAATACCTGAGACTTAAACCTTCCTTAGTGACACAGCTGCAGAGCCAAAGTAGTATGATAGAGACAACAGTGAAAATTCTTCCCTAAGCATCATCAACTTTTGGGGTCATTATTTAGCCCCCAAATCCTCAACTTCTTATCCATGACATGGCATTAATACCTATCGTAACACTACTGTTGGAGGGAACACTCAGAGAAAAATTTTTGTCTGTTGATCTATTGATTATTGCGCTATTGTTACAACTTACTATTTTTTGCTGCTTTTAGATATGTAATTTGAAGCAAAATATTGTATAGCAAAATACAAAGATAATTATTAGGTATATTCATAAATACTACAGTTACACCACTCTGGCCTGTTTGTCAAGAGTCAGACATTCTATTTCAGCAACTACTATCTATAAAATAAAATTGCATTTTCTTTTTCAAAACCAATCATTGTTGAGGTAAACTTGTATTACACTTAAATAAGTATCTGACAACATTTTAGTCACAGGACCATTTTGTTTTTATAAAATTAATTAATAAATTTATTTATTTATTGTGTGTGTGAGTGCGTGCGTGTGTGTGTGTGTGAGTGTGTGTGTGTGTGTGTGTGTGTGTCCACATCACAGTTTGAATGAAGAGATCTTAGTGTAACTGGCAGGAATCAGTTCTCTTCTTCTACTATACAGCTCTTGGGGATTGATCTCAGGTCATCAGGCTTAGTGGCAACTACCTTAACCCACTGAGTCATCCAGTAGGCTCCCCTATTGTAATTATTTCAACACGGGATCCCACGTAGCTTAATCTAGCCTTGAAGTGGTTATGTGGTAAGCATGCAATTGAACCTCTTATCCTCCTATCTCTGTTTTTCTCCTATTAGAGTTAGAGGCTATGTCTGTGTATAGTTTTAAATTTATTAAGGAGTAAACAAATCTTTGATTCATCAGAAGAAATTCTATTAATAGTTTCAAAGTAGGAATCAAAACCAAAAATTAAAGAATGTAAGTACTTTAAAAACAAAATTATAAGGCTGGGAATATACTATAGTGGGTAGAATGCTTGACTGGCATGTAGGCCCGTAATCCTAGCACTAAGGATGTGGGGGCAGAAACCACAGAAGTTCAAGGTCATCCTTGGATACCTAGGAAGTTTGAGTTCAACTTGGGTTGCAGCCCCTGTCTCCAGAGAAGGTGTAATACAAATACAAAATAATATAAACTTATATCAAGATAACTGATAATTTTTTCCAAAGTGTAACATGAATAACCTTTATTCTTATTTCCAATAGCATACTCCTAAGACCAGTCCTCTCTACCAGCAATTCTATCTGTACTATAGTCTTCTGAACTCCAATCAGAATTTCCCATTGAAATATGCCCATAGCATTCTCAGATTTTCCTATGCTGCTTCTCCAAACTTTCAAATTCCCCTGATGAGCCAGTTCCAACTGCATCTAACTCATGTGGTTTCATATAGTCCCAGTGATAGTGTCACTTCTCAGTACACATTTTCTGTATTGTGTGACTTTGGCGGTGGCGGAGGGTGGAGAGTGGGGTGGAGATATGAAGAAATGTCTCTTCATCCTAGATATGACATTAATGATACGCCAAAGAAACAATTCCACCTGAGTATGGTATAGTGGCCTAGTGAGATTATGACTGACCTGCTACATCACCAAAAGCCCCCAACCCAGCATGAGTGACAGCTCATGAAAGTTTCATCTTGGAGCAACCTGAACAACATGCAAATAGTCCCACCTAGGAGTCTCCCTTTGCGTAGCATTTATTTGTTGCTTAAGTAATTTTGCTGAGGATCCCTAGGAGTCTCAAAAGTTTTAGAACATTTTTCCATGATCCTTAGAAGCCTCCTCCTCCCTTCGAGAAGGAATGCTTCAGTTCAGACCACATAGCTACAGAATATGTTGCTAGTTACTTTTATTGCTGTGACAAACAGATGAAGGGAAAAAGAATTCATCCTGGATCCACCACTTTGGTCCTGAGGAGAAACCAAATGTAATG